TGCAAATCATCGTATTATGTTTTTATAGACGTTTTACACAACATCCTAACTTCATTGGAATTGGGGTTGTATTAGACTGGTCATTAGTGGAAGACCGAGTTAGAAAACGGTCAAGAATAAATATTAGGCATCAAAAAGAATAGTGGAGCACCTTAAAAATAAGCATTCAAACAGTTATTTTCTTTTACATTTTTTACACCGGTAGTTTTACTGKTTTAAGCAGACCTATATTTTATCTACATACTTTACTCGGCAAATTAGAGTGTGAATAGGTACTAATATGGCATCAAAAGTTTTAATTAACTTTACAAATTTTTATATAGTTCTTCAWGACTTTACTTACCTTTGAGTACCTTGTAACACTTTCACAAATGTTAGGCTTTGTAAATTGTCTCACTGACAGTGATGTTTCAAACAATTTTGGGCAGTTTGAGCTGCACTAAATGACCCCAAATCTGACACAAAGTCTGACTAAAAATTCCTTTGAGGAAGCTCCAGATCTGAGCGTTTCATGAGAAAGTTGAACGAAACAGTCCAGTTATAAATATATAGCTCAACCATCAGAAATGCCCGCTGTGGGGGAAATGATTACTGTGTTTCGCCACCAAAAACACAGCTGCTAACTATGTTAAAATAATAACATCATCTAAATCTGTGAGTGGTGGAGGGCTGAGAGAAGGTAGTCCAACCACACACTTACACACCGACACACACACACACGTTACTTCGCCTTGTGTCCCACAGCCATTGTTAGCCCACAAACACAGTGTGTGTCCACCCAGAAGTTAACCGCCAGCGCAGCCGGCTGTAAAGCATCAGTGTGATTGCATGAGGCAGATTTAGAAACCCAACACACATGTCCACTGAGGTGTATGCACACATAAACATGCGCACATTTTGCCCATGCATGCCGCTGTATATCCGACTCGACCAGCTGTGTTCGAATTTCAACCATATCTCAAAATCCCCCCCGGTAATTGCTACGTCTTTTTGACGTTTCTGTATTTTACTGACCAACTCACGCAATCAAAAAAGGCTTTATCTCTAAAACTGGCTACAGTGGGGTATGTCGTTAGCGCTACACAAACAGCATTCATGTTCATTTTTTCACAGACAGACGATGCTCCCATATGGTAAAATGTTTTTATGACTCGTGAAATGGCAGTAATGACTACCTATAAAAGATTCACTTTTGATTTTATGAGCTTGACGATTTTAATAGCACGAATGCCGACTCAGCAGTTACGTTGATATTTTCCCATCTTTAGTTTCTTTTGTATGTTTTCTGTACTCAAACATGTTTTTTACTGTTTTAACCATTCATAAACTAAAACTATGCAATGCTATAACAATTTMTTTTGTAACTTTTTTATTTTATTTTTGACTTTAATTAAAATAAAATACATTAAGATCTCCTCAATTCCTTATTTTTTTCTTTGAAATCAGAAGGCTTTCTCTTGTAAATTTCTGTGCTACTTTAGCAAATGTTTTGGTAGTTTAAATTAATTTAAGCTGGGTCCACACAAACATAAATGAATGGAACCATATTTTACTTTTCAACATTTGTGTTTCACATGCTGAAAGGTTTAAAAACAGTGCAACACTGTGTCTTTGTTTCATAGACACTTTCTTATGCGATCGTGGAGCTGTAGAAAAGTAACCTCATTACTGAGATCCTAAAACCTTAGTTTGACAGACAGCCTGACTTACTGAAAAAAAAATCCTAATACTCTTCTGTAATGGACTACTCGTGGGTGGCTACCTGTTTGAATAAACTTACCCGCCTCTCTGACTGATGGAGTAATGGGTCCTAAATGGGAACACCTAAATAAAGCACTGTTTGAGAGAGATCAAAGCTGACTGACTGGATCGCTGGATGGATGTTTTGTTCCCGACAGGCTGGGCGCTGGACCAGAGCAGTTCATGCAGGTCTTGTGCCAAGGGCTGCCTCTGCAACAAACTTCTGTGAATTTTAACAGTACTGCTATACTCGCCTCTGTTCTCTAGGAAACCTGGCCCAAACCCAGTTTGCACAACTTTTTTTATGTGATATACTGCACTCCTGTCGGGCCGTGGTTGTGTTCAACTWAAAGCAACTGTTCAAATCTTTAGAAGTGGAAACATTTATAGCAGTTTGTGTTAATATAAATGTTATAATCACAATAAATTTCATGGTTATTTACCCAGAGTTATGTAATTATTTGAAAGAGCAAGCAGCAGTGACAGCAGCTAGCTGTAGCACTTCCCGTGCAGCCTGGGGCACTTCCTGCACAAATGGCATGTTTCTGCTTGAATAAAAACTTAAGAAACTTAATTTTCTTTGCAGTTGTTTGGACCCATTCTGACCAGCCATTAGCTCGTCAWAACATTCAGAATAAACCCTCTTTGAGCAGCTAATGAAACAGAGTATTGGTTCAGGCTTTGTTTATTCAATGTACTCACACTTACTATTTAAAACATTGTAGAGTAATAGTACCATTATGCACATGTATTCGCTCCTGTCTTTGCATGTGCAGTGTTTGATGCGTGAAACGGTGACTAAGCAGGATTTTTAGATCACACTTTCACCACATCTGTGCCAGGGCAGAGGAAGGAGAGGAAATACATCCAGGGAAGATAAGGGATTAAGATCAACAAAACACAAAGTTGCTCTTTGTGTGTGTTGTTACAGGCACTCTGAGAGAGCCTGAATGCTTTTACTTCAGAGCTGACATCAAACATTTTCAACTCTAAGGAAAAAGGTGATGATGAATGGTGCAGGAAGCTCAGTGAAAGATGAAACCTGTAACAGCGATCATCTAATGGATCTCAGAACTTTGGCAATTTACAACTTTTTTTTTATTTTTTCCCCCATAAGAATGCTGTGAACTCTACATCCAAACATTCAGATATACTTTGGCTGATAACGTTTTTCATGGTTGAACTTTTTCATACAGATGAAAAGATCTATTTTGTTGTCCTGAAACGTTCAGTCTTCTCTTCCTCRGGAAACACCCAGTCATTTCTGTTGTTTGAGATATTAAAATTATGTTGAGAGTTTACAGGCACTTTGTGGATAATTTATTAAAATGCCAAATAAGGAGGGCTAAATTGTCAGGCGAACTAAAACATTGCACATGCTATTTGTGGATATGTTGTGGGTAATCTAATAAGATTGTGTGCACAAATGATAACAGGCGCAAAAGTGGTGCAGACCGTCCAGTTGAAATGAGAATTTCGTGTGCACTAATTCACCAGTGTCCACAGTGGAAATGGCAAATAATCTAATTTTCTCTCTCTCTCAGAGTTCAAAGAAAACACAATCACATTCATTCTGAATATTGCCAGTGCATATATTTTAATGCAGGGTGCAATTGGAGAAAGATTCAAAAAGGAAAATAAGTCTCCCGTCAGAAGACCACTCTCTCTAAAGAGCAGTAAACTGTAGGAATACTGAAAAGCTCACAAACCCGAGAAACTTGTTTTTGAAAGATAGAATGCCACTCCAGGCATATCAGTATATTAACRTGTAAAATTCCAGTCTATGTATGGTTCAACATGCAATCAGTTTTTCTCAAGCACCAACTTCATAAAGTCACAATATAGTGCAGTATAGTATAATACAATGACTGCAACCAGTTTGCACCTGTCTTTGCAAATGTGAATGTGTTAAAATCAGCGGCACAACCAATTTCGTGTTTAAAGGGAACCCTGATTAGTTGTAACATTAGACTTTATTTAATAAACATATATTTTAACTGTAAAATAAAGACTGTAAAAATACTGTAGGATGTTTAGTTTTTATCATTTTTAAACTAAATGTTTAAAAATATATTACACGGACAGGGCCATTTTATTTACACGCAAAGCATTCTGGGTAAATGATGACGTGGATAGGTCCTTGGTGCGAGGCTGCTAGCGAGCTATATCCACCCTGAAGGTTAATCTTGGACAATATCTGATGATCGACTCTTTTAAATGAAACCAGAGAGCGTTGACAGAGAGGAGAAGGTAGAAATGACTCAGCCTGGAACTGAAAATATGGATGGAGGACAACAGAGCTGCTTCATGGAAGAAGAACCTCAGCTTAGCCTGTTAGCTTTAGCATTAGCCCCAATTCTATCACCATATACATGTATTAGCTCAGCACTACACATTCTCCTCTCGTCACTGAGGTCCTCCATCCACATGACAGAGAGGGGAACACAAAAATGACTCAGMCTGCAACTGAAAATATGGATCGAGGACCTCAGTTTAGCTTGTTTGTCGCGCTAGCACAGAGCYAATACATAAATGGCGATATAGCGTCAGCGCTAGAGCAAAGGCAACGCTCTCTGGTTTCATTTAAAAGAGTCGATCATCAGATATCGTCCAAGATTAACATTCAGGGTAGATATAGCTCGCTCACACCGAGGACCTATCCACATTACCATTTACCCAGAATGCTTTATGTGTAAATAAAATGGCTCCATCTGTGTTAAAATATATTTTTAAAAATTTACAAATCTAAACAGCCTACAGCATTTTTACAGTCTTTATTTTACAGTTAAAATATGTTTATCAAATAAAGTCTAATGTTACAACTAATCAGGGATCCCTTTAATAAATCACATTTTGGTGCTAAATGATTTTATCTGCAAATCCTCCTCCCAGCATTTTACACACAGATAATCATCATATATATTCTTCATAGTCATGAAAGCAAACATGCTAAGTTAATTGCAGTTGCTGTTTTGCTCATTTGCCAAGGGAAATATTCGGCATACACGGTTAATAAATTAGCTTTGCGCACACTATCAAATTTGCATGTCCTTTTACACGTGCAAAGCATTGATAAATCAGGCCCTTTATGTCTACAACCAATATGTGTAAAAAAATGTAAAAAGCTGAAAATGACACAGCATAAACTAAGGCAGCCTTCATGTTAGACTCTGCGTTTAAACAATTTAAATTGATTCTCAACAAATTTAAATACCTAAATTTTCTAATATAAAGACAAATTTACACATTTTATACACAAATTAAATGAATTGTTTTATTGATAATTCAGCTGTGCACAAACCTGGCCAGCCAGGGTTTTTAAAATATACACATAAACAGAAGCTGGGAAATTCAGCATACAATAAAAAAATATGTTATGAACAATTTTTACAAACATGTATATGAAAATGACAATGAGATATTTTCTATATAAAAAACAAAAACAGAAATGGCATATGGGTAGCTTTTTATGCAATCGTCCTGATATCAGTCATTGATTACACCTTTTTTTAAATGTGCAGTTGGTAAAACATAAAAAAGTAAAAAAAAAAAGTCCATTTTCTGTATTATGTACAAAATTATTATGTACAAAAATGTACAATGTGTAGATAAGTATTTGCTTTGTATCTTGAACTTTTAAAATGACTATACTTGAACTTTGGAATAATAATGAATAGAACTGAATAGTATGAAAAATGTTTAAAAAATAGTTTGAAGCCAATAGGTTGTACATTTGAAGGAAAATAAACCTGTTATCTTGAAATATATTTGAAAACAGTGCTTCTGTACATAAAAAAATTGTTTTTCAAATACACATTTAGGGATTAAAAAAATCTATTTATAATTTACTGTTCAATGAACCACCAGAATTACACCTTTTTTGAAAGTAGGTGTGTGTCAACATGGAAATGATGTAAGGACATCTTGAATCACTCTGAAAAAAAAAACTAAAGTCAAGCTTTAACCTTCAAGTTTTTAAAATTACTGGTTGGGCTTGTGTTGACATTTATTTTGTACAGTTATAAAATGATGTCATGATATCATGACAGCCAAAACTGCATGGTAAACTTTATGTGGGTAATGTTGTCATCTTCAGTAGTTCAAGGCTACAAGACATATAAGGTATAATTCACTGAACAGTAATTTACTGATGACTTCATGTAAAAGCAAATCTTTAAGAAAAAACATTTAAATCTGTTATTTTCAGTTAGTAAAGTTGATTTATTTACTGTAGGAAGCATAATTGTAGGTTTGCCTTCATAATGGGTGGGCTTGTTGCTTGGTATTTTGTCCTTTGATGGTGTTTTTTTTTCACATGACGGCAAAAACTCTGAAGGCTTTTCCTCCTGTGGGGTTTGATATGCTGAAAAAAAGATGAACAGAGAAATAAAAATGTGTTTTTTTCTGTAAATGAGGAGCTGGGTATCATTGCCCTGCTGCTCCAACACTCTCCCTGATGCCACGTTCAGTAAAACTTTACCTTTCTGAGGAGATGCCATTCTGATAACTGCCGCTGTACTGCTGCCTTTTGTCCACCGGCATCACATCGAGGTAACCGCCAGACTCGTTCTGGATCACTCCTGCATGAATGGCGGCTTTACAGATACTAGATTTCTGGAACAGAAAGCAAAATTTTATGTAAAATTCTAACATAACAACCTTTTTCTGCATAAAATGAAAGCTGTTCGTATTAAAACAAAAAAAATGTGTTTGTCCGATTTGTAGTGTAGGTTCTAGGGTTCTTTGTGTTTCCCTCAGTGTACCCACCTCTGTCTTTTTCCTCAGCTCCTCTCTGATGCACACCTGATCTCCCCAGGTGTTCTCAATTGTCTCCTCATTAACTCACCTTTATATTCTGTGCTCACTGCCCTGTCTCTTCCTTGTGCTTTCCACGTACGTTAGGTTTGTCTTCCATGTTTATCAGTGTATTTAATGAGTTTTTCCTGGTAGAGGGTCTATTCTGTATGTAGGGGAGTTTCTTGTTGTCTGTGTGAGTTTATCCATGATTGGTGGAGTTGGTGTGTAGGTGGAGTTTGTCCTAAATGTGATTGGTCTGATTGACTTATGTCTTGCGAGGCAACTTGAGAGGAAGTAATGTGATAGTAAAATTATTGTGAACATGTAAACATGATTTATTGATTGTCTTTGTACAACTGAACAATGACTGAAATAAAAATTATTGTGAACATGTAAACAAATTTTTAACTTCATATTTTGCACAGCTACTACCTTCCTGTCTCGAGTTATGACTAATATTAGGTCATGTTCATTTTTAGCGATCTTTTGACAGGCTGGTTGGGTCTGTTTTAAGTACATCCCTCCACATGTAGGGTATTTATATTTCATGCAGCTAGCAATTTCCTGTCTTGAGTTATGACTAAAATTCATATTTTTTATATAAAAAATAGGTGCTTCCTGGTCATTTTGACCAAGCTACTCCAGGAGTTGCTTCTTCAAACCCCACCCAAAATAGTCAATCAGACCAATCATGTCTTTAACAAACTACGCTCACAAAAGTTAAACGGATCAATCATGTCTTGGACAAACTCCTCCCACAAAACAAACTCATACTTCATTGATTCATTGATTCATTGAACAGATCTTAATTGCCATCCCCAAAAAGTAACTATTTGAATCTACAATTGGTTAACTTTTATACTAAACCTGTTTCAATAGGGCCACTACAGCTAAAAAAATATTAGAAAACATTTTTTTAATGTTTTTGAGCTAAACTGTGTTATAGTGGTAGCTGAAACATACTAGTGCTACACATTGTGCAACATATTTGTTGAAATTGTCGGTGTGTGAAATAACAAATAATGCATATTCTTTCATAGAAGACTGGTTTCATTGAAACAGCAAACACTTACGTCTGAGTAATATTTTGTCCCAAAGACCCGGGCTTGGTTGTCATGCAAACAGTTCCTGGGGCAATACAATCTGAAACAAAACGCACAAGTTTAGAAAATGGAAAGGATGAAAATTTATGCAATTTTTTGGCTCGTGAACTACAATTTTAAGGCAATGTGTTTCACTTTTTTTTTTGCTGTTTTGATTTTGATGGATTGATTTTATTTCTTTACAACCTAGAAAGAATGAATGAGGGGTCTAACTAAGACTCCGAACAGCCAAAGTGTATCATTGTTTGTTTCAGTAGAGCTGTGCATGCACTCTTGGTAAATGTTTAAAATTGAATCACATGAAACTATGGGAAACAGATGACCTTTACTAGAATTTTGAATAAAAACTACAAATTCCAAAGTTAGAGTTTTTGCTTGCAGTGGGCTGCAGAATTACAGCCCAGTCCCAATACTCGCACTTACACCCTTGTGTACTTCAAATGTGTTCCAGATGAAAGGTTCGTAGTGCATAGTGTGTCCCAGTTTTCCGGAGTGGTCTTTTTTGACCTGCCCACTTTGTGTCATTGACCCACATTTCGGTTAAGCCTGCATCCAAGTGGACTTCAGTGAAGTGTATTACCCACATGTGATGTTTTAAATTAAAAGGCAATGGGGAGTTTCTTGTTGTGGCAATGTCCACTGAGCACCTTCCAGTCTAGTGGTGGCGGTAATGCACTTAAATTAAGCTGCCAACCACCAATAAAATCAAAAGAAGAATGTCCACTAAGCAAGCTGGTGATAATTTGGTGTATGACCCCTAATTTACACTACATGTGTTCCGTCTACGCTCCGCTGCAGTCTGAACACCGCAGCAAATACGCACCCATTATAATCAATGAGAGTGTTTACACTGGCTGCGCAGGGCGGCGGTGAGCGGACGGCGATCCGTCAAAATTAGAACAGATCCTATTTTTTGCCGGACGACGGAGCAGCACCAGAGTCAATTTTTAAAGATTACGTCGCACCAACAGGAAAAGAAACGAGCACAACATCCGTATTTTCAAAATAAGACACTATTCGGCGGAATAATTTGTCAGAATAATGTCGAAATTGCGGCTGTATTAATAAATATACGGATATATTTCTACACAAATGCTGTCAGAATGTATCGTTCTGTTTGGGAAGCAGATGGAAACGTAGCATGAAGCATATGTGCACACACATGATACACGTGGATTTTATTTTGAAATCAGACATTTCAGAAAGGCGACAGCGAGACAGTTTCAACATAGATACCAAAAGCCTTTATATCATTGTTTTCAGCTGTGTTTGGAGTTTGTCTTTCACAGAATTAATTATTTTTGCTGTGACTTCCACACCTATCACTGAATTTATCGCGCGATCTGCTTCCTGCACGTCTGTCGGACCGGAGCGGAGCAGAGGTAGTGTAAACTGGACTTGAAACGCACAGCTGCGACCTGCGCAGCGGAGCGGAGACGGAACACAAGTAATGTAAATTAGAGGTAAGCCTCCTTTGGTTTATGCGCTTTATTCTCCTAAAAACGATTGCTTGTTGTAGTTATACTATAGTTTCTGGCAGTATAAATGCCAAAACCGAGACCGATCTCACCATTTTGGACGTCACAGTAATGATGCAGAGGTGCAAGTCGATGACGTAAGGCATACTGTCCCAATTCTTCAATTTTTGCACACTTGTAATCTGCACACTCGAACCCTTATGTGCACTACGACTGAGTCCACACTTCATAGAGGGGCGTGGGGTGTAGTGTGAGTATTGGGACTAGGCCAAAAGCTCAGAACAGCGGAGTGTTACCTGGGACAGTGTCGAACAGGCTTCTTGAATGGACAAAACAGAGCCACTGTAGTATCACATCTGACTGCCTTGACTGGGAAACAAAGTGGACAAATCACAGCAAACAATGTACCTGTTATGTTCCTTTACAAACACAAAAAAAGGCAACGTGCAAATTTAAAAATGTGCTTCTTACCAGGCACCGAATCTACTTTGAATGAATTTGCACTTCTACTTTTTCTGTAAAGATGAATAAAACCATAGGTTATGATGGAATAGTCAGGGCCATGTCAATGGATAAATATTCCTCAATTCTCTAAAGATGAAAGTGTTCAATAAAAAAATATCTACAAAGGCTGATTCCTACCCGATCGACTGGATACCATTCTTGTATGATTTGGTAAAATACTGTTTTCTGCCCAGTCGAGTTATATCCAGCCATCCTCCATCACTGTCAATGACTCCAGAGTGCAGTGCAGCTCCACACACACTGGATTGCTGAAATTAAAGCCAAGAAAAGATACTGTATGCTTTTGTTTATAAAATATCTAAAAAAGTAAACAGTCTGTTTTTTATATTTTTTACCATATCATAGAACTCTGTTCCAACTACTTTTCCAGGTCTTTCCAAACAGCCAGGTGGACATTCATATCTGTCGAGAGCAGAGGAGTCAAGGACCTAAGTACAAATTTTGGTTATTTACTTCACTGAAGTAATTAATTTTCAGCCTACTTTTTACTTGTACTTCTTATGTTATCATGCAGCTATCTGTACTTTCTACACTTGACATTAAAAAAAAAAACAGAAAAATATTTATTTATTTATTTATTTATTTGTTTGTTTGTTTGATTAACAGATCTCTCTTGGAAATGAGATTCTGGATCTCAATGAGACTACCTGTATAAATAAAGGTCAAATGAAAAAATATGAAAAAAATTCATTCCATCTTATCTTTGAAAAATAATAATAATAAAGAACCTATTGGGATATATGGTGCCTCCTGAATAGAGTGAATTTAATTGTGGTTGGACAAAAAGTATAAATATTATGAAATTTATTGGTTTGTATGTGATCCATTCCACCTGTGCATGATACACATCATGTCACACTCTGGCATACGCCCACCTCGCCCAAAGATGCTAACAACCTTTATCTGATTATCAAAATAATAAAAGAATAAAGTGAATAGTTACAATCTTTTATTTTGAAAAAAAAAGAAGAAGAAATGACTCATATAAAGGTTTATTTTTAATTATTCAAATGGATTTGTTTTGGTGATTTTTATGTATAAAAAAGTTGGTCATCTACCTGTTACAGGTTGTTCCTTTGCACTGGTCCCTCAGCTTGGTATCACATTCAACCTGTTGGGCTTGTGATACACCAAACAGAGTCACTGTCAGAATCCATTTTATGTGTTTGCTTCAGTAGAAACGAAGGACTACAGGAGGATCCTTACACATCTGCTCAGTGCTGACAACCTGGTTCCTTTCAATGTTGTCATTGGGCGATGGATTTGGTGTTTGGGCCCTTGGCGGAGGCTCTTTGTCTCTCACCGGTCCTGGTTCAGGTTCAATGTAGTTGGTCTCCTCGATCTCAGGAGCTGAGTGCCTGTCAACACCCCCATCTAACGGGGACAATTTCATTTTTGAAAGTGCTGCATTCAGTGCAAAAACACGAACTTATTGAAATTGCTCATTAAAACTATAACACTTGTGTCATAATTATGCTTAACATTTTTTTGAAACTAACAATTTAAAATGATTTTTCTCAAGTATACCTTTATAACACAGGTTGTTTCTGCAGCCACCAGCGTAGCTCGCTGGACAGGCCGAACAAGGTGAACCATATTTGTAYGGAGCGTGACCCCACCAGTTTCCCCTGAGGAAAGCAAATAAAAGTCAGACATTTTAAAATCCAAAGCAGGAATTCCCTCAAACAATTGTAAATGTGTGTCTGTTAGGTGTATACATGATTGCAGTGGGGTGAAAAGTCAATTTCACTGATAATGACATTTCCCATGGTGTGAGTTACTAATCAATTGTCCATCTAACCAAGTCTGACACTCTTGATTTCAGACTGATATACAGTACTACAACCCCAGTTCCAGTGAAGTTGGRACGTTGTGTAAAACCTRTATAAAAACAGAACWGTTATTTTCAATTTAGGACAAAAATATTTAATGTTCAAACAGACCACRGTTCATCACTACATCTACAAGTCCAAGTTAAAACTCYACCAWGCAAAGCCAAAGCCAGATTTCAACCTCACCCAGAAATGCTGTTGGCTTCTCTAGACCTGAGCTCATCTGAGATGGACTGACACAAAAGAGAAAAAGTGTCCTGTGGTCTGACAAGTCCACATTTCAAATTGTTTTTGGAAATCATCCAAGTCCTGTTCTCTGGGCCTAAGAGAAAAAGGTCTGTCCAGGTTGTTATCAGTGCAAAGTTTAAAAAAAAAAACAGAATTTCTGATGGCATGGGGCACGTTATTGCCCTTGGCACATCTGCAAAGGCACCACTGATGCTGAAAAGTACATACAGGTTTTGGAGCAACACATCCAAGTCTTTTTAGACTTTTTAGACTTTAGGGTCTACAGAGCAGTGGACATTAGGAGTACCACTCAAGTAGAGGCGATTGCTCTAAGACTGCAAGGGAAGCTCAGCTTCCCCTAAAATTTCAAAAATAAGTGATCAAATATATACTGCTGTGTGTACATGCCATGACTAAATATGCGCTAAAATGCGCTCAACTTTTGTTCAGAATCAGCTTCTTATCATGGGAACGACGCAGCTTTCTTCTCACTCATTCCCACAGCTTCACAGTGCTTTAAACAGAGCGTCCACAGAGTTCAATAGCGAAGCAAGTRCAGCGAAACAAGACGAGTCATTGGATAAATGCTGGCTTTGTCCCACCCATCGGATGCTCAGCATCTCTGGGGGTCTATGGGACAGGGGGCTGGCCTCGGCCAGCCCGGACGCTCAGCTTCTGCATGATGATTGGATGATCTGTCTGAGGCTGAATCCCTTTTTGATTGACAGCGAAATGAGYGAATCAGAGATCTTTTGGTGTAAACATCGGTGGGAGTATTTTTTTAGTTTCATTCTGTTCTGAGTTGACTTTATTAATCCTTTTAGCAGCATTTTCTTTGTTAAAAACAACTACAACAAATCGAGCTTCTATGGTTTTTTTTTTTATAACTGCTTGTGTTTGGAGACTGACTTCTATCAGTCTTTCTGACTTCTATCGCAGTTTCTGTCCAACAGGGGCTGCTGAACCCCTCCACCATCACAAAGCACTCACAGGTGGACACACTTCACACCAGCCTCGCGCCAGTAACAAGCTGCACATAATGGCAGACAGTTTGAATGTTGTGGACCGGATTTTGGTGAAGCCATTTGATAGTCTTCCTCATGAAGAAAAACAGAGTTAAACAGCAGGGCTGATCAACTCCTCAGATTTATTTGGTGCAAAAGGTGGGAAAAGTAACAGGTCTTTTCAGCTGTCCTGGTATGACAAAGYGAGCTGGCTGACTGGAAGTGCTGTAAAATGATCTCTGACAGGGCCACAGATCCTTTTCTTGAAAAGGAACGGAGGGTAGAATTTATGTATAAATAAACTGACACATTTTACGATGTAGGCCGAAATTGAGCTTCCCCTTCTTGAAAGACCAGCATCCGCCACTGCACTCAAGATTTCTTTGGTGGAAGTGGTCTTAATAAAAATACCGTGGGCTATTTTATGGCTGGACAGATACACACAATCTATAGTTTTCATTGCAGAGTTACAACACAAGGTCACCTGTGCCCTTGACCTTTGACCCCATAAACTAGAAATCAATAGGCATCATCCGTGATCTTTAATGTGCCCAGCTGCACAATCTGATATTTTTTTCTTAATCATTATTTAGAGTTTAGACAAGAAATTGTTCACAGACAAACAGAATCTGAACATAAAACCCTAAATGCTGAATTAGGATACACAGCTTCCTGCTCCCTGAGTTTATATAGCAGAGTTGTAACTTGTTATTCATAGTGAAAACTTACGGAGGAGAGTAGTTGCAGACCAGATAAACAGCTTTAGCCCAGATCATTCCCCAGACGTTCATGTTGTAGCACACGTTGATGGCACAGCCAATACGATTGCTTGTTGCCCACACCAACTAAAAGAGAGAATACATTTTTGGATAGCAGCAGGGTGGCAATAAAAGTTATACTTCCTTAATGCTGAGTTGTTTACATTGATCTCAATATAAAAAAAMCCACTAAATATATTCATGTTGATTCTGTTACCTATTAGACTAATTCTAGCCTGATCAGACTTGAAATGTTACATCAAGAGGAAGAAAAAAAAACAATAAAGTTCTTGTATGGAAGATATAACATGATGGCCCTTACCTGAGTGTAGTGGGTACACACAGGTCCTGAACATCTGAATGGACAGTGTGGATTACATTCCTGGGAGTATGGATAACTGTAGTACCTGACCTCATCATACCAGGCCTGGACATGGTAGGTGGGTGGTCTGTCCCTGAAGCAAGAGAAACAAGTCTTAGATACAGTGTGTCTCTGTGTCCTACATGGTGAACTGAAAAACAAAATAAAATAAAAAATCTAACATTTGTCTTTGTGGATGCTTTAAATTTTTACTTCAGTGGTATTTCAGTGCAGTGAACTTACTTTAAGAAGACTAAACATGTTATTGAAATGGACAGTGGACCGTGAGGTAACCAGAATATCTCAGTGAGCAGTTTCAAAGATTCAAAGTGTTTATTATACACAGATGAAAACATTTTTMCCTGAGCAATGAAATTCTTACTTTGTCGACCACTCTGAACACCAGGAGACAAGACGAAAAAGAATAAGCACTTAAAGGACACTAACAAAGTACTGTGTATCGCTGCCCTACTGTCATGCCTCCAGCCCTGCCCACGCTCACCTGTTTCCTCTTGTCTCCTCCAGGTGTTTCTCATTGCCTCATTAAGTTGACCTTTATATTCAGTGTTTTGTCTTCACTTCCTTTGTCGGATCATTGCGCTGTCTCACCAGCCCGTGTGGYGTCCTCCATGTTCCTCGAGTTTTGTGCCAAGTCAAGTGAGTTTTTAAGCTGCCTCGTCAGCGTCTTTTGTTTGAAAATAAATCTTATTTTGCACTCCGAATTTTGCCTTTGCCCTGAGTTGATTTCTGCCTGATAAGCTCACACATATTTCTGCCATAATACCTTGGTAAACTTGATGGAAGTGTGTATCTTTATAAAACAGCRTTTGAATAAACTCKTCAATTTTAGCATTCAGGTTAAAGCAGCAAACCCCTTTTGTATTGAGCATGCTCGAACAAGCCCTTAGCTCAGTACGGTCARAGTAAAACTCACTCTGAGGACATTCAAAGAGTTATTTATAATTATTATTATTTCTAACCTTTCAACAAAACCCTGCATCATAAAATTTAGGTACTTATTTGAAGATCCCTTATTCTACTAGCATCAAAATACATTTTCTTGCCTCATAATTTCTGACCACCTTGACCTCAAATGCTTGTTCGTACACACCTGCCCCAGTGCGCACCAAGGTTTTGTCCGATCTGTGTCAACATGTGGCTTGGTCCGTGCTCCCATAGGCAGGTATGTGCCCAGTGTTCTGCGCTCCGCTCTAACTCATAATCCCACACCTGAAAAGCAAGAACACACACATGAGCAAACATGGCTGCACACAGATTAACGTGGGTTAAAAAGTTGTTTATGTTTTGAACTATAGCCACGGGTTACCTTCACAGTCAGCAGGGTAACAGGCTGAAGTATTATTGTTGTTATGTCTGGTAACTTTAGCTTTCTCGTGGGCAAAAGGTTAATCTAACAAGAAAAAAAAAATGGTAGCCCGGAGCAGCTTTGTCTTTAATCGGTGTTTGCAAACCAATTTCCCAGCTGACTTAAGTAGCTAAGTGGCCATTTAGCATAGTTGTGGCTTAAACAGCTCCTTAAGATTTGGTTCAGATTCATCATCAAGAAGACTGAAGCCACTGAAACTAGTTTGACCCAGATCATCTGAAAGATGAACCTGCTTTACTTGCTGCGGCTGCAGGGCTGGAGCAAATTTGACACTACAGTCAGAGTTAGGGTTCTCTTTTAGAAACMCACACGTACTTGCTGACTAACACACAGACACATGCATGAGAGACCACCACGTCAGCTTGCAGCTCTGTGCTACTATTCACTGGGGTTGTTTCATATCTTGCTTCCAGTAAGTTCTTATCTCACAAAAAAAAAGAAAAATATTTAAAAAAAAAGTGTAAAACGTCCGACCAACACAGAGAGTCTCTGTGTTGGGACTAGATGCCACTTTTGTTGGAAGAACTTAACAAAAAATGAGCTCAAAAAATTCCTGAAAACCCTTCACGCACATCTAGTTTTGAACAAGCAGGGCTGTGAACATTTGGGACAATTTGAATGTTGCAGCAAAATTAATGTAGTGTTGACTCTGCTGGGGAAGGAAAAGAATAGCCGCACTGTGCTCTGCTGTTGGCATATCGTTTTGCTGCATTACGGCTATCTCCCATCAATGCTAATAGGAAAATGCCAGTTTACAGACCACCATAATGCCTTCCATGTGCTCTGCACAAGGTGAAAGCACAGTTGCCCACTCCGTGTGTGATTTGAAAACTGATTTGTTTGTGCAGTTGGGCTGAAGCTAAAACACCAAAAAAAGGGAACTCTTAATTCTATGCTATTAGGTTGCAGAAGAATTGTCATTAGGCCTACAGCAATTTTAGTTGATTAGCTTTTGTTGAAAGTAAGCATAGATTTCTGTGAGAAATAGAAAAATAAATGTCACACACTCAAAATGTTCAAATCCTAAACAGCTAAGTGCATTTCTGGCCAGCAAAAGTAAATGTTAGACATCATTTTACATTCAACTGTTGGTGTTCGGTGCAGAAACACCATGGTAGAGTTTCAATTGTAGCCAGTTGCTGAGGAAAAAAATTGAGATGAGGTGAATACGATCTAATTAATCTAATCTAAAAAACACACACATAGACTCTAACATAGCCTGCTAGGCAATAAAAATTATGCCATTTGTGTCCACAAATTCTCTCTAATGTCAAAAGTTGGCAAAGATCACCTCTAAATCTCTGGTGAACAAGCAGGACAAARTTGAGATTGATAGGTGAATTTGAGTAAAACTTAACTTTTGCATACAACACAACTGTTGCTCGGTCTGAAGCGTTTGTGAAGTGATCCTCTAAAACAGTGGTTCCCACTTTTTATATTCTGACCCACAAACTATCCATGGCAAAAACTTTTGACCCCAAATATTACTGGTCTGAGTACACGAACTTCATTAATAACCCTAAAAACACAGGCTTTGACAATCGAAACAGCTTGTACACAAATGTAAATACTTATTTATACTTATTTTGTGTTTTTGTAATAATTATATGGAAAATATTACATCAGCAATTACTTTATTACCCTTTAAATTTATTTATGGACATTATCCAAGGTRCTTCATGACCCATAATTGGGTCCCAAACCCAACTTTGGGAACCAAAGTGCACTGGTTCCCAAAGTTTTCAGCTTTTGACCCAGAAAATAACAGTAGCAGAGACCTGTGCTCCCAGCTACTTTTGTATGATAAACATTTGTATCAGGTCAACAAAACATGGGCATAGTAACAATATTTTTTATATTACGTTTTTCCATTTTAAATATACTAACCTCACTCCTTCGTAACAACTAAGGCAAAAATGTAATTAATTCAGAAAATTTTTTTCAATGTTTCAGGACCCCACTTTGGGTCCCGACCCCAACTTTGGGAAACACTGCTCTAGAACATATTTGAACCTATTTAGCTTTAAATATGTTAGAACAGGAGCTTGAAATGCTATCCCATTAAAACAGATGGCAATGCTGGTCTCCTGCTTAGCTTACATACTGCAAAGTTGGTGCAAAGAGGTTCTAAAGATGTCTGCCATAAGTCAGATAAAATTAAGTTCACCACTCTTCTCCCCCGTTCTTGCCCTCCTGCCTGCTGTTATCTGCAATTGACCATCCCCCCATGCGCGTGAGAAATATGGACATTAAAAAGTAAATCTTTTATAACACATCCAAAAGCGTGACTATGACCGAGCTTTTTGCTGTTGTGCTCCGCTGAAATGTCTTGTCGGAGTGGGGTCTTTGGGTCAGGGTCGTGAGGAGGAAGGAGATGGATGGAGATGTGTGAACTTTTATTTAAGATTTGTTTTTTATTCCAAAGATCCTTATGGCTCAGCAGCAGAAGCATAAATATTACTGTTAAGAAAGCTAAAGTCGATCTAAAATCAAAGTCTGATTATGAAGTGAAACTAAATCTCTGACAGTGATCATTACACAGTGTGGCTCTAATTCCTCTCTTCACCATCTGTGTCGCAGTTTCACGTCTCCAAAATGAGCGTACGCATGGGTCAGAGCTGGCGTGAGGCWCCGCACATTTTCACGTCAAGCTTGGATTTTATAAATCACAACCTTGGCGTGAAAGGTGGCRTACGCAAGTTTCTGGGCTCATTTTGTGCGTACGCAAGCTTTATAAATCCGACCCCTGATCTGCTTCAAACCACCTCTACAAGACCACCTCTACAAAGTATATTCAGTAACTACACTGAGAACAAATCCTTCAAGTTCATGCTTGTTATATTTTAAAACACCTCTAAACGTATCAACCCAAGTAGGTTTTTAATTCCTCTGGAAGATCAGCTCAACAAGGATTACCCTGCTTGATGCGAACAGCACCAGATTTAGTGATTCAAAAAGTGCAGCCTGCCAATCCTGCAGTCTGCAAACCAAACACTTGGCTCTCATCAGGCCCATTTTACCACATCGTTATCATGTGTAACAGTATCCTTTGCTGCAAAAACATGGGATTAGTGTACGCGGCCTCTATCTTGCTCCACTGTACTTCATACTTCAAACGATCAGACCTGACATTTTTGAAATGCATTCGCCGACGTTGCAGCCAAAACTAGATGCGTGGACCATCAAAGAAACAATAACGTCGGCTGAGGCTGGAGCTGAGGATGACTGAGAGAAACTGGAGCGAAAGCAATGAAAAAGCCTGAAAGAGAGCGAGGGTGAAGATCAGGAGAGCAGACGAACAAGAAGAAAAAAAATGTCTGAGCGAAGAGAACAAGAGTGACATGAAGAGTGAAGGGAGGCGGGGTAGGAAGCGGAGGCCGGTGGGCAGGGTAGTTGAGGTAGAGGACAGGACAACACTGTGGGGGTGAGAGCTGGATCTGGTCCAGGGTCAATGAGGGCAAGGCAAGCAGGGGGCAGGAACATAAGCAGTAAAAGAGCTTTCTCTCTCCCGTTGCTCTATTTMACAGAGCAGGAGAACAGTATTTTGGACACAAGGGAATGTGTGGAAGGTTGCATGCAGAGCACCTGGAGTTCAGACTCAAAGGTTTAGTTCAACAATGGGTTTCATTTCAGATAGAAACTTATTTCTAGCAGAGGAAAAGTGGACATGTTGATGCTTTTCTAAATCCTAGAACTTATTGTAAATTGTTGGACTGCATCTAAATATTAAACCTGTATAGCAGAGCTAATACACATTACCTACACATAAGGTCTAATAACTCCAGTTTGCTACTTGTTTAATGGTCCCGACTAAAGACACATTTCAGGTTATAGCTCCTACATTTTGTAACACATTACCGTCATCTCTTAGAGCTGTGGACTCAGTGGAGATTTTTAAAAAGCAGCTAAAATCTCACCTTTGTAAAACGGACAAAACATGCTTTTAAATCCTTCCTTTTGTCGTTCCGTTGGGGTCAATATAAAGTGGAACAGCAATGCTTTGATTTTGTAGATTAACAGCAGAGATAAGATTACCCAGCAGTGAGGAAACGTTTTATTTATAAATTGATTAAAAGACGTCAGCAACGGAAGACTTGTCCATTCAGCCTCACATGTTGGAGCCAGAGTCTGACCGAGGGGTTGGGGGGGAATGAAGACGACGAGCCCGCAGAAATCCGGAAGTTCATGACTTTTTAATTTGGCTGAATAAATTTTAATATTTGTCTTATCAGTGCTTTATGGCTTGTCGATTGTGTTTTCATGCTCTGTTGTGTGTTATTCTGTTTTATTGTGAAGCACTTTGTGGCTACTTGACTGTGAAAAGAGCTGTACAAATAAAGTTGACTTGCTTACTTAAAGGCCTAGCATTACTTGAAGGAATGCCTATCTGCCACCTTTCCTGCCAGGGCTTCAGACTAAAATCATSTTTTGTTGAGAAAGGAYGAGGTTTCCTAAGGTCAGCTGTCTGAGGCAATCGTCTTGAATTGGTTTGACCCCAAAGGGTAACCATTTGTAGCTGTACATCTAATGATTACTTTCTAAGAGTTTTGATTACCATATTTAGTTGTGTATATTATGGTCTCGAGTATAATACCACAAAACCAGTCTGAGATGATTCGCACTTTATGACATGGTGCGTTATCCTGCTGGAAGTAGCCATCAGATGTTGGGTACACTGTGGTCAAAAAGGGATGGACATGGTCAGCTACAACACTCAGGTAGGCTGTGGCGTTGACATGATGCTCACTTGGTACAAATGGGCTCTAAGTGTTATATAAAGTATTAGTATTAAGAGTTATTTAATGATAAATCACTGTATATGTTGTATAACACATTAGTTGTT